TTCAGTACATCCACAATCAATCAGTACATCCACAATCAATCAGTACATCCACAATCAATCAGTACATCCACAATCATTCAGTACATCCACAATCATTCAGTACATCCACAATCATACAGCAGAGTCAGTACATCCACAATCATTCAGTACATCCACAATCATTCAGTACATCCACAATCATTTAGTGCATCCACAATCATTTAGTGCATCCACAATCAATCAGTGCATCCACAATCATTTAGTACAACCACAATCATTCAGTACATCCGCAATCATTTAGTACATCCGCAATCATTTAGTACATCCACAATCATACAGCAGAGTCAGTACACCCACAATCATTCAGTACATCCACAATAATTTAGTACATCCACAATCATTCAGTACACCCACAATCATTCAGTACATCCACAATCATCCAGTACATCCACAATCATACAGCAGAGTCAGCACATCCACAATCATTCAGCAGAGTCAGTGAGTACATCCTACATTCCACAGCCGTACATATTTCTACAGGTTTTTAATTTTCCAGGATTACGCTCAATGTAAAGAAATTATCTTTTAAAATTCTGTTTTCTTTCCAGGGTACGGCTTGGAGTTAGAGCGAAGGCGAGACAGCTCTCAACAGATAACAGAGTCTATGGGGATGTACGGTGAGTCTATGGGGATGTACGGTGAGTCTATGGGGATGTACGGTGAGTCTATGGGGATGTACGGTGAGTCTACAGGGGCGGTAAAACATACATGTGTAAAAATAGAAACAAGACGAGAGGCATCGGCGGGACTGACCTTGAAGTCTGCGGTTAGGAAGTCGCTCATGAGCTGTGTTTCCAGCGAATGCAGCGAGGCCCGCGCCAGCACCACGAGGCGTCGCAGGAAGTGGCCAGTGGGATGTGGGCGGGTCCAGCGCGAGCCCGTGCGGTCCTGGGGGGTCGCCAGGCACATGGGGGGCCGCGAGTTGCCAGATTGGCTCAACTCTTTAGGGATGGAGGTGAAATCTTCCTCTGAAACAACAACAACAATCATATCAACAACAACAATCATATCAACAACAACAACAACAATCATATCAGCAACAACAACAACATTCAGTCATATCAACAACAACAACAAATGGAATCTATATAATGCATTATCTCCACACTCTGGAGCAAGCCCGACCCACGATGAACACACTAGATTCTATGGACACACGATGAACACACTAGATTCTATGGACACACGATGAACACACTAGATTCTATGGACACACGATGAACACACTATCTATATTCTAGTATTATCCCAGAAGATCCAAGAATCCTAATCTTTCCTCATCCTTACTATCGTCATTTTCCCCCACTACAGCTTTTGTATGTTTGTCACTCTCTTGTGACCCGCTATTTCCGGGGTGCCTTGATAGTCGAAGCAGACTTTGTGCTGTTGAAGCTAGAGAGGTGAGCAGTCTAAGTCTGATTCCCCGTTTGGACTTCTCTGTTGACATCCACCCCTTGGCGCTCATATGACCTTGTGCAGTTGCGAGCGCCGTAAAACCCTCAACTAAAACAAAGACGTCACATGTCACATGATATTGACCAGACGCGAGGTGTCATGTTTACCTAACTGGTGTCTTCAGCGCAGCAGACACGGAGTTCACCGACACACATTACCCGTCTCTCAAAAACACCCGACCTTCTATCTCATTCATCACTATACCTGTCTCTCAAAAACACCCGACCTTGTATCTCATTCATCACTATACCCGTCTCTCAAAAACACCCGACCTTGTATCTCATTCATCACTATACCCGTTTCTCAAAAACACCCGACCTTCTATCTCATTCATCACTATACCCGTCTCTCAAAAACACCCAACCTTCTAGTTCATTCATCACTATACCTGTCTCTCAAAAACACCCGACCTTGTATCTCATTCATCACTATTCCCGTCTCTCAAAAACATCCGACCTTCTATCTCATTCATCACTATACCCGTCTCTCAAAAACACCCGACCTTCTAGTTCATTCATCACTGGAGTCCCCATCACGGCCACATTGTCAAGTCCCCATCGCGGCCACATTGTCAAGTCCCCATCACGGCTACATTGTCAAGTCCCCATCACGGCCACATTGTCAAGTCCCCATCACGGCCACATTGTCAAGTCCCCATCACGGCCACATTGTCAAGTCCCCATCACGGCCACATTGTCAAGTCCCCATCACGGCCACATTGTGACATTCATGCAAGTTGTACTCAACAGTCAGTTCGTAGTATAGGGTTTTAGGGCGTTCGCAACTGCGTAAGGTCATAAGAGCGCGCGAAACACAGGTTGGTTTTGTTCACAACAGTTGGCTGTACGGCTGGCTCGAGTCAGTAGTTAAATCTTAAAATGTTCAAAAATCAGTGTTAATATACATATATTTTCAATCTAAAACAATTTTTCTAGTTAACATAAACAATTTTAAAAGTACAATTTTACTTTACAATTTGCCATAAAGGCCAATGGCCTTCACAAAATTCAATATTCTGCTGGGAACAACGACGGAAAAAATGTCTTGCAATTTCTTGCATTTATAATATTTCCTTCGGATCTCTCCAAAGTCTAGACATTCGGTTAAGATGTGTCTAATGGTAAAATCTGTGTTGCATCCGACACAGAACGGCTTCTCATCTCCTTGTAGGAGGTATTTGTGGGTCACAATTTTCCCTTCAATTGTTGTAAACAAACTGATTTTTTCTACATTAAAAAATCACACGGACCATTCCGGAAAGAAGTAACGACTATACCAAGTGTTCACCCAACCACGGTTCTGTCGCGACGTTCACCCAACCACGGTTCTGTCGCGACGTTCACCCAACCACGGTTCTGTAGCGACGTTCACCCAACCACGGTACGGTCGCGACGTTCACCCACCAGCGCTCTGTCTGGGCAAAATGTGACAAGTTTACCTGTGAAGTCTGCGTTGAGGTTGATCATGAGTGGGTCGCTGGACCAATTGTGAGTGGACACCAGGTGAAGGAAACGCAGCAGACCACACACCGGGCTCCTGAGGGGGGGG